GAAGCACTGTCACATTGCCACCATGAAAATGTTTCAAACTTGTCTCAGCAGCATACATAATTGATGCAACGAGGGTAGAATTTGTTTATTTGGTCGATATTACTTACCAAGCAAAGCAGAGCTGTTTTATTGAGGTACAAATATCCTGTGCTTTTTCATTTTGCGTTTAGGCGCATACAGACTCAGCTAGGCTACATTGTAACCGCAAAGCGTATGTGGCTCAGCCACGACTGTTATAAATGTAACAGAATGAAAACATTTTAACAGTGATTTAACAGATTGATGTTGGGAAAATAGATGGCCAAAATGCAGAATGGTGTTAAATGCCTGTAAACAGCTTGGGGAGAAAATGTTTTTACAGATTTAAACATGTAGCCTAATATTAGACCTACTGTCACATGCCTGTACTCATCATGGATCTGACAGGCAAAGTGAAATTACATATTTTGCTCGTGGTGCACGCAGCTCAAATGATATGTAACAACACATTGGACATGAAATAACAATACAAATGTAACAGCACAACAAAATAGATGTAAAAAATTATTTTCCAGGTGCCTTTTCATTTTAAACGCCAAATAGTGCTTTCTAACGGTCGTCACCAGTTACCATAGCCACAAAGTGATAAACCCCGCCTATTTCTACTATCGTATATGAAGATTATGTCTTTGTTAAATGTTTTTCATGAAGAAATTGAATGTTGTTTATGTTAGTATCAAGAGGGAATGTTTTAGTGTAACGCCACATACAACAGACAGGAAGTGTGTTGTAGACAGGAGAGACTGGTGATTGACCAGAAGAGGGAGCATCTTTTTGCATTGTTTATAAATAGGGGGAAAAACGAAGGAGAAGGCAGAGCAGCCATTCTGAGGCGTCGCTCTCCGGGTGTCATGTCACCTGTCACTTATGCTGAAGCTTGTGATCTGAATAAACTTATGATCAAGGATTCAGTATGAGCAGACTCCTTTGTTTATCAGCAATAATTGCCACCATTCATCCGATACGACACTACAATTTATCTTATTTACATTTACATTTATCATCTTATTAAAATCTGATTTTAAACCTTACCCTAACCTCAACCCTAACCTTAACTACACTGCTAACCTTATGCCTAACCCTAACCTTAAATTAGGACAAAAAATATCATTTTTGTTTTCATTAATTTTTACCAACCTTGTGGCTGTGGTAGCTAGTGTAAACAATTTACAGATGATGATTAATGGTGGCAGTGGGGTTATGGTATCAGCAGGCATAAGCTACTGACAACAAACACAATTGCATTTAATCTGCCACCATCACCTCATGTTTCAGCATGATAATGCACGGCCTCATGTCGCAAGGATATGTACATAATTCCTGGAAGCTGAAAGTGTCCCAGTTCTTCCATGGCCTGCATACTCACCAGACATGTCACCCATTAAGCATGTTTGGGATGCTCTGGATCGACATGTATGACAGCGGGTTCCAGTTCCCGCCAATATACAGCAACAGCCATTGAAGAGGAGTGGGACAACATTCCACAGGCCACAATCAACAGCCTGATCAACTCTATGCGAAGGAGATGTGTTGCGCTACATGAGGCAAATGGTGGTCACAGAAGATTTTTATTTATTTAATTTTTTATTTTACTAGGCAAGTAAAATAATAAATTATAAAAGTCAGTTAAGAACAAATTCTTATTTACAATGACGGCCTACACCGGCCAAACCCGGACGACGCTGGGCCAATTGTGTGCCGCCCTATGAGACTCCCAATCACGGCCGGTTGTGATACAGCCTGGAATCGAACCAGGGGGTCTGTAGTGATGCCTCAAGCACTGAGATGCAGTGCCTTAGACCGCTGCGCCACTCGGGAGCCCACTGACTGGTTTTCTGATCCACGCACCTACCTTCTTTTTTTAAGGTATCTGTGACCAACAGATGCATATCTGTATTCCCAGTCATGTGAAATCCATAGATTAGTGCCTAATTAAGTAATTTAAATGGACTGATTTCCTTATATGAACTGTAACTCAGTAAAATCTTTTAAATTGTTGCACGTTGCGTTTATATTTTTGTTCAGTGTATAATAACTAGGTGGGACTCCAAATTCCTCTTTCTCTCTTTTCCCCCTCTTTCTCCTCCCCCCTTTCTACCTTCCTTGTCCCCCATCCCTTCTTTTCTCATTCACACACAAACTCATATTCCTGTTCTATTTCAGAATACGACTACTTCATTTCCTCTCCTCAGTCTACCTATTTCAGACTGGCATTTAGATAATTACTTGAATTAAATTATGTAATATATAGTATTTAGCCCTCTACATTTAAATCTTAATATGTAGGTCAATGTGTATTTTAAGATATCTTAAATGTAAAGTTATCTTAAATGTAAATGTTAAATGCTGCTGGGTAAGACCAGGCAATAGTGCTGTGTTTTTGCGTGTAGGGTGAAGTTGCCTCAATGCTGATCTTGGGTCAGTTTAGCACTTTCCCCATAATGGTTAAGGTTAGGATTTGGGGAGTTGAAGCTGATTCTAGGTCTGTACCTAGGGGAAACTTACTCCAGGCTGTCAGTAGCACCACATATAGGGGCGGAGTAGGAGATGTGGAGTATGCTACCTCCTCCCCTTGAAAAAACAAACTCTGTTACCACAGAACACCTGTCCTCCCTCTCTCCACTTCTCCCCCTCTCAGGCAAGCCCTCTCCCACACTCTTCTTCTCAGCCCAGTTCTTTGTCCATCGCTTCCATTTGTCTCTCCTTGTTCTCCCCATTCTGCACTCAGCCACTCTCACTCATTCTCTCCTATACTGTCTTATCTGTATCAAGTTCCATGCTTTGTGTTCACCCTGTGTGACTGGCCTTAGAAACACAATATCAGCTATTTCTCTCTTCCGTTGTGTCATAAGCACACTCTATTCCCTACGTAGTGCACTACTTTTGACCAAAGCCCATAGAGCTCTAGTCAACAGTAGTGCACTACATAGGGAATAGGGAGCCATTTTGGATACAACCATAGTATTGTGCTCCTCAATCTCTCATGTACTGTCTATCTGTATTGTGTTCACCCTGTGTGACTGGCCTTAGAAACAAAATATCAGCAATTTCTCTCTTCCATTGTGTCATAAGATGCATCCCAAATGGGGATACACAGGGAATAGGGTGCCATTTGGGACAGCCATAGTGTTGTGCTCCTGTGGCCTATTTATCATGTGGCTTCTGACAGTCACCACAACAATTGTCAGACCAGGAATAACCTCCAACTTGACTTATTCTCAAATGCGCTGGTGCCTTAAGTGTCTGAAAAAGCATGTTTAAAAAAAAATATATGTCCCAGTCTGTCTCGTCCAGCTCAGTGATGTGGCAAAAAACCAGTGGTAGTCGGTTAAATAGGTCTCTCACAACCCTGTAACCCTGGATTAATATAGATGGGCCATGACTTCCGTCTCCGTTGGTCACATCATTACCACTGGTGACAGACATACCGTATGCATCCCAAATGGTACCCTATTCTCTTTACAGTGCACTACTTTTGACCAGGGCCTACAGGTGCACTATATAGGGAATATCGTGCCATTTGGGAAGTAGACAGCTTCTAAGCCCTACAGCAGTGTTTCCTGAATGGTGGGTCAGGACTCGCTGGTAAATTGTGGCTAGTTCCTTCCGGATCGCTGCTAAAGCAATCAATCAAATTAAAACAAATGCAGTTGTCACAAAGTGCTTTACAGATACCCAGCCTAAAACCCCAAAGAGCAAGCAATGCAGGAGCAGAAGCACAGTGGCTAGGAAAAACTCCCTAGAAGGAAGTAACCCAGGAAGAAACCTAGAGAGGAACCAGGTTAATTCAAAAGGCTTTCGGTGGATCACAACTAAAATAAGAAACCACTGCCCCTCAAAGAGAAAAAATTAAACACTTGCCAGTTCAGAGGCAACTCTATTTACCTGTGAGCTCTAAGGACTACAACATCTATTGAGTAATAACTGTTGCAAAACAGCTTTGCTATCAATAGCAATACGGCTATAGGCAGTCTATAGGAGACCAATATGACCGTTAACAGTTCATATTGTTCTCACCTGTACATTCTCCCTATCATTTTCATGCATTCTTTCATCAAATAAAGGTTGTGTGTTTGAGGTGTGTCAGGAATGGAAAGAGCACAAGGGAGTAGCTAACCACAAAGAAACAGAACTTGATGGTCGGATGGGAAAAAAGGGAATGTAGTATTGAGTGGGAGTCTGGGAGAAGACGCACAATGGACTGACATGGGCTTTTAGTAATAAACAGGGTTAACCATTAACTTTACAGTACACACCAAGGTCTATCCTCATGGCTGTGTCAGCACAGACCACCTCAATTCAAGACGGAAAGCTAGGCAGACATGAGGGTCGTTTTAAACAATCAAGACCCAGACAGTAGCCATTCTTTAGTGGACATAGACAGCGCATAGGAAGTAATGAAACACATCTGTGCAGTCCACAAAAAGTTCTCACTTTCCTGAAATCATGTAATACCTATACTATTAATCTAACTTTAATGTTTTGCATTACACCTTGACTACTTTCATTTTCTGTACTGTTACACTGGTATCAAAACCACCGGAATGCTTCACCTTTCCTGAGGTTCTGTTGCTATAAGTATTACTGTACTGGACTGGACTGGAAGTGTCTGCAGCACACACCAGCAAGCTGGGTATATTTATCTTGGCCGTTAACAGAGCGATGGCCACAAAGGTGGAATGTCAGTAGGTCTAAATGTGACTTAAAAGCACCGGTTACATTTAAGTCCAGCCAATAAAATAAACACGGACTACTTCTAGCGAATTTTATGAATGACCGTATTCATCCTCAAGCACGCCCTCCAATCAGTTTGTAGGCCCTCTCCTTAACTCCACCCATTTGGAATGTCTGGCCCGCTGCCCAAATGATAATTGGCTGGACATATGGCAATACATGGGCGGAGTTGCTGCGGAGCTCACGAGTTGGTATAAAGTAGAGTAGGATACTCTCTCTGTTTAATGATTTAGAATACAGTAACACTGTGACGATCTCGAGGAAGGGAGAAAAACAACAATTTTCTACACTTCAACGACTTCTATTGCTCTAACGCAACTGTGCGACTGTAGTATATTTTTGAAAGAGGTTTTAAAAGTTCAGAACTGCATTCAAGCGGACTAATAACAAGATCAGAGCTTGTTTTTTTTGACAACTGTCTACTGTTTTATTGGAATTTATCAATAGTTATGGCAAAACTTATCATCTTTGTTTTCTTGACAATGGCAGTCACCAGACAGGTAAGTCGTATCACCTTGGCAGCTGTCAATTTGGTATGATTCTGATCATATGCAAATCATGCAACAAAATAGAAATGGATGAGTGGAGTGCTTAGACTGTTTGCAATGATCAGTTGGAGGTGCTTTGACTGTCATACAGAAGTAATAGGGCGGCAGGTAGCTTAGTGGTTAAGAGCGTTGTGCCAGTAACCGAAAGGTCGCTGGTTCTAATCCCCGAGCCGACTATGTGAAAAATCTGTCGATGTGCCCTTGAGCAAGGCACTTAACCCTAATTGCACATGTAAGTCGCTCTGGATAAGCGCGTCAGCTAAATGACAAAAAATAAATAAAAAATTGTATTTTAGAGAGACACAAGTAAAACCCTTCTCTAACGTATTTGTTTCTGTTGCCTGAAGATATATATTTCAAACGGCTGTAACCTACAGACTATTTGGTAACACTTTTACAATACCGTGCTACTGTGTATCTGCTCGTGTAATTGCAGTGTAACAGTTTTGTAATTACTAATTGTTACAATTAGTTACAATAGTAACCCTTAACCCTAACCTAGTGTACTAATGAGTAATTAGATTTTACATTTTACATTTTAATCATTTAGCAGACGCTCTTATCCAGAGCGACTTACAGTTAGTGAGTGCATACATTTTTCATACTGTCCCCCCGTGGGAATCGAACCCACAACCCTGGCGTTGCAAGCGCCATGCTCAACCAACTGAGCTACAGGAGGCCTACAATACTTGTTACACTGTAATTACAGGAATAATTACAGTTATAAGGTAACTGTAATGTAAAATGTACCAGACTCTTTTTGTAGCCTACCAGCCCTACCAGCCAGATTGTGTATTTTTTTGATAGGCATGTTTGTTCTTGTCAAATAACTTTGACTCACTGTCTGAGGGTGGGACTTTTACATACTGTTGATTCTGTTACTGGAAGAAGTTTGCACGGAAGAGTGATGTACTGTGACTCGAATCACGAGTTGGCAGGGGATTGGGTACAAAACTTAAACAGCTGTCTAGACAGATAAGACATCCAAAGGGAGAAAGGGGTAGAAATGATATGACCAAATTAAATGGACTACTTCACATTGAAGTTAAAGTATATAAATTCATTGTAAACTGTGTTCAAAACCACTCCAAAGGGGACACAATAATCATGTTAAATAAATATCTCACAATTAATATCAAATGAACAAAATGGCAAGTCCTAGACTCCTAGAACATATTTATCACTAGCAGTGTTTTAACCATGAAGGCAGACCACAGCAAGAAATTACATTAAAAAAGTTAACTCTTTACATTCCTATGCTTCTCTCTGTTTATGCCTAGGAACCTAAACCTCCTCTATCCCCCTCCTCCCCCCTCTTCCTCTCTCCTCTCCCCTCCTCCAGGTGGGTACCAGCTGCCCGGCGGTGTGTGAGTGCCCAGCCATGCCCCTCTCGTGCCCCCCCGGGGTGAGTGCGGTGGCCGACGGCTGCAGGTGCTGCAAGGTGTGTGCCTCCCAGCTGAACCAGGACTGCAGCCCCACGATGCCCTGCGACCACCACAAGGGACTGGAGTGTAACTACGGCAATGACGTGACCCTGGCCCAGGGCATCTGCAGGGGTAAGGTTGTGTTAGGGGGAGGAAGTGGGTTGTTTGGAAGTGTGTACTGTAGAATTGTTAGGATTCGAAGTGTATAGTGTAGGTTGTAGGTGTTCAGTGTTAGAACTATGATGAGGTGTAAATAAGTGTAAGTGTATATCTTTTCAAGTGTGATGTGTAGTAGTTAGTTGATGTTGAATTTCTATGTGATAGCATCTTAGGGTGCATGTATTAGAAATATTACCGTAGGACTAAACCATGTGTTGAAAGTCACCATAACCCCAGGACTTAACACGTTGTATCCCAGTGGGGGAGGATATTTGGATGTGTAGTAGATTCCTTATGGAGCTCAATCTCACAGACCAAAATGGAACTAGTTCTATCTACATCAAACCAAGATTCCAATCCTTCATAGACTAAGAATGGAGCTCTACCATGTCCGTGATATGGAGACAGAGAGAATCTTATGTATTCTTACTCACAAGACTTCCTTACTCTGCCCTTTCTCTGACCTCTGACCTCCCTATGGATCTAAGTGTTCTCTCTGGGTTACAGTCTGTGCGCCATGTCAGTGTCGGTTATTGCGTGTTTGCTGGTTGTTAAGGGGAGGATTGCGTAAAGGGGGTTTCAGCTGGTGTAACCGGAGTATATGGCAGATTCCTCCCGGTCATACCTGGGATTGTCAGTGGGGGTTCTTGTACTTTGACTTTAAAACACATCCTCATATTTAGATTTCTCCAGAGACATGGATGGATGGTTCCCAAAATACCCCCTCGTTACATGATAGCACATTACATACTGTAGATAGTAAACAGTTCATTGGTCCTGCTGATGGTTTTATGTGTATATGAAGCCTAAATATGTTACTACCTCGAAGTGGTCTTAGTGTCCATCTAAATTGCCCCTAAAGGAATTAAAGTTGAATTTAATTGTACTGAACTGTACCTAACTGTACCTAACTGTGCTGAACTGAATGGAATTCAATGCATTCTCCTAATTTCCCTCTCTTAACAGCAAAAACAGACGGTCGTACGTGTGAGTACAACGGGAGGATCTACCAGAACGGCGAGGATTTCCGCGCCGGCTGTAAACACCAGTGTACCTGCATCGACGGTGTCGTGGGCTGTTCTCTGCTCTGTGCCAACCGTCTGCCCCCCGCCACCTCCTCCTGCCCCTATCCCCAGCTGGTCAGGGTGCCAGGGCAGTGCTGCTTCACTGTGGACTGCCACAAGGGTACCGGGCGCCTTCCCCCCACCAAGCAACATCACCAACCAACACAACCCAAACCTCAGCCAGACCAGTACCAGCCAGATAACACACTGGCCAATGAGCTGGTGGAGAGAGGCAAGGTCTGGGAGAATGAACAAGGCTACAAGCACCTGCCTGGTGAGGAGCTGTTGCACTGTTGACATTCACCAAATGCATTATTATTGATCATGATAGATACCTGGCTGTAGCTTATCATGTACACTGAGTGATCATCGCTAGCACTATCACCATTAGTGGTATAATAGTTGATGAATATTGGTCGATAGTTACTCATGTTTGTCTGTACATCAGTCAGTCATATATCCTGGTTTCTTCCCTCTGTGGTATAGTCTCCCTATAATTCCTTCCTTCCTTCCCTTTGTCTCTCACACTCCTCTTCCTCCCACCCTTCCCAGTATGGAAGCATTCGTTAGAGAAGTGTGTTGTCCAGACAACGGACTGGTCCCAGTGCTCACGAAGCTGTGGGATGGGAGTGTCCTCACGCATCACCAACGACAACGGCCAGTGTAAGCTGGATAGAGAGACGCGCCTCTGCACCATCCGTCCCTGCGGTGACGTAGCCGTCCCGCCCAAGGTAAATTCCATATTTAGACAACGCAATAGGTAACTGTGTAGTGTGTGTGTGTGTTTGTGTGTGTCTGTGTGTGTGTGTGCCCATCAGTATGAGCACAAGCATGCAGTACAAGAGAAGAGAGTGTGACTGCACATATCTTCATCATCATCATCATCATCATCATTATCATCCCAGGCAATAACAATATCTCCCTTATCATCTACTGATCTGGTATCACTTTGATAACAAACCCCAACCCCCTAGACTGTTTCCTCTGTGGAGCACGTCCCGATGGGAACAGACTAGCGTTGATTTACTCACACTGGCGGTGGCACCCTTTTAAATATAGTCCCCTCCACCCCACCCACGGCATTCCTGCCAAGCAACTGTCCATCGCTAGGCGCCTGGGCCCTGTGCACTCAGCCAGGGAGATGGTGTGTCTATATTAATCCTCCTCTGTTTCTCTGGCCCAAATGCCACCCTATTCCCTATTTAGTGCACTACTTTTGACCAGGGCCCATAAGGCTCTGGTCAAAAGTAGTGTACTATGTAGGGAATAGGGTGGCATTTGGGACGCAAACACTGTGGGCTGGGAGATTATAGCTGATTTACCACTGAGACTAATAAGGCCTCTGTCTGTGCGAGTTTCAGTGAGTTTGATTCAAAACTTTGTTTTTGTCACTGTTCGTGTTCAGTTAATAACTTTACTATAATTGAATCAACTTCAGTTTTGTTTTCAGGACTGACACTTTGTTAGTGATAAGTTCATGATGATTTGGTTGCATAGGCCTACCGGACATTTATTCAAAGATGTTTTAAAGATGTCTGCAAAAGTTTGTTATTGAAACAATACAGGCGCCCCAACAGTACAGCATGAAACGTTTACTTTCCTCTGCCCCTCTCTGATTATCTCCCTCTTTCTCTCTCACCCTCTCATCCCCCTCCCCCTCCTCCTCTTCCCTTTACAGAAGGGCAAGAAATGCTCCCCGACCCCAAAAGCCCCAGAACCCATGCGTCTGTCGTATGGCGAGTGTCAGAGTGTCCGCCTGTACCGGCCCAACTACTGCGGTGCGTGTACGGATGGTCGCTGCTGTTCGCCACATCGCACGCGCACCGTCCCTGTGACCTTTGTGTGCCCGGATGGTGAGCGTTTCCAGAGAGCTGCCATGTTCATCCAGTCGTGCAAGTGTAGCAAGGAATGCGGCCATCTCAACGAAGTGGCCTTGCCACCACAGCACTGGATGTATGGAGACACACATAAGTTCATCGACTAGCTTGATCGTGTTTGAAAAGAATCCTCAAAGTTGACTGAGAACATTGACAAGGGAAGGGTGACATAATTAAAATAAATACCATGGGCCTTGAGGGTGTTTTTCTCTGCAGGCTACAAATAACAGAACTGAGCTTCACAATGGGCTCTCAGTAAAAGCCTGGCACTATAATAACTAACTCCCAAATAGTAAAGTACTTACTGTATGTTTGACTGGAGTGGTTTTGATTGACAGGTGATCGATCCACTCCTGAATGTTCCTCAGACATGGGTCTGAACTGAGGCCTACAGTCCCACCTGGTGTTTTTGTTTAGTTACGGTTTGACATAATGAACAAGACCCAGCCGCGAGTTGCTAAGGCCTCCACAGCAACGACAGAGAGAAACAGACGACAACACAGCACTGTGTTGTAGAATAGAAACACATGAACTTGAAGGAACTGTACAGGGTTATTTGCTGTATAAAGTGATATGATGCTTTGCCACTAACCAGGGCCGTATTCACTAGGCACCAAATGGAAGAAAAGAGTCTGACACAGCGACGGACAAGCTGAAGTTGTTCAATAAGAAAGGCTTGTTTTGGGTATCCGTTGCAAAACATTTTGCTAGGATGTGCACTAATGACTACAACCCAGCTATATGAGGGCTGGAGTGATACCGGGGCATCCCACAATGCACTAAGAACAGTGACTATAGAAGTTAAGTGACATCAAGACTGGATGGGCTGAAACGTCTTGACAAAGAGACTGACAAGTTGGAGCATGGGTACTCGTGATATTAACGTTATTTATTCGTATTCTTATCCAAAGAACTTGACACTAACTCTCTGCAATACAAAGTGACGTTCAGTGTAGTTGGGATGATGAGCTGTCTAAAATCAGAGATTTATGTGAGAGGTGGTAATGAAAGAAATGTGTGTCTCAAATGGCACACTATTCCCTATATAGTGCACAAAGTAGTTCTCTATGCATGGAATGGTAATGATAGATAGCCTGTCTCCACTGACTGCAATACTAAAAGGAGCTCTGTCTGTAAATGAGACGTGTTCAGAAATGACTGGACCAATACCAATTTACTTCAAATGACCTCTAATCTCTTACCATCTTCAGATTCAGATACGTTTTATTAGCATGAATGACAAAGCCACTGTTGCAAAAGCGAAGTGAGATAATGTAATCAACAATAACAGTACAAATAATAAATGCATAATAATAATAATAATAATAATAATAATAGAGAATAATAAATGATTAATAACATTGGATAATAATCTTCAATATTATGTACATGTTTGGGATTCATTCATGTATTGTATGCTGTTCCTGAAATCCGAAAAACTATTGCTTATACAGCTTTAATTATTTTTTGTTACTCCAAAACTATAATATGAAATATTTTACTATATAACTGTAAAATACAATTGTACAACGTCTACTTCAAATGTATGTTTGTCATAACTGAGAATGTGTAGCCAAGCTATTAAATGTCACCAGTGTATGTTGGTGTTTACGTGATACAAAGCTGACCTGTGTGCTTCAGCGTTTCAGTTACGGTACATGTGGTTTTATTTTAACTTGACTTGTACCGTTTCAAATTCTCTCATTTGGCAGTCATTTGATTAGCCGTTAGTAAGAGGTTGGTCAACTTAAAGGGATAGTTCCTAAAACACACCAACTTGGCTGCTGACATGCTCACTTTCTTGGGAATGTGTTAAAGGGATAGTTCACCCAAATTACAATACAACATATTGGTTTCCTTACCCTGTTAGCAGTCTATGGACAAGGTATGACAGTAATCACTGCTTTGGTTTTGTTTACATGGTCACTGTTTCCACTGTTGGCACAAATTCAATGCAAGTCAATGGTACCGATATAAGCATTTTTCACGCTTCATGTCCAAATCATCTATAAGTAACTTCCCTGAGCTACACAATCAATTTGAGATACTTTAGGATGATTTGGTTACTAAGCGAAAAATTGCTAATATCAGTACCTTTGACTTACATTTGGATTTGTGTTACACATGCTAAAAAGTTAGGATTTGGAGACAGTGACCAGGTAAACAAAACCCAAGCATGGATTGCTGTCATGCCTTGTCCATAGACTGCTAACAGGATAAGGCACAGACTAGACCAGTCAGTATGGGGCAGAATGTATGGGGAGACCCATTGGGGACATTGGGGACATTGAAGTTTAGGAGGTTTAGACCTATGATAAAATGTATTGAATAGCATCTGCTTGATAGTGTACTGTACACAGATATATCACAAGTCAACACTGACATTCTCACAGAATTATATGCAGACATTTACAATAAAAAGCATGTTATGTGGAGTGGACATCAAAATCTCATAAACTGAAACGTCATTCAGGACAGAATATTTTTGTTGACCAACTCCGCCCTCTGGTGGTGATTATTTAACAGGATCCTACCTGTCTGTCATCGGGTCACAGATTACCTAAAATTATCTGTCTGGATTTCGCCTATCGGATAGGATTAAATGCATAGAAGTATAATGAATAGAACGGGTGTCTCCATTCAAGTCAATGATTCGTCCTTTCTATTCAATATATTTGTATGCATTTAATCCTGTCTGCTGTTTATAGGTTTTCCCGCCCGCGCCAGTGTATCTATATCAACCTCCTCCAACTCGCAGCATCCAGTTGTCCTCGCGCTCTACTGATTTTGTGATGTCACGCACGCACTGCTTGCGAGAGCTCTCAGCGCAGCGGAGGTTCTCGCCTGGGTGATGGCGCCGTCCGCTTCGGTGTTCAAGTCGGGTTTTCAACCTCACGACAACAAACTTCCGATGGAAAGTGTCCTTCCCGACCCGGAGCAGCTTCTGCTGTTCTTGAGAAAACTCAAAGAGGTGTTCGACGTGTGCGACGAGGATTCAGATGGTTACATTCGCGTGGGGCATTTCGTAGACCTCGGTTCACAGTTCGGCCAAGGAGACGAGGTAATAGAAATTCCAATCAAGCATCACCTGGTGTTTTATGGAGTAACGTTACGCCACAGTAGCGTTTGTTTATAAGTTTAAAGGCTTTGTTTATACGTTTATTGTTGTGTTTTATGTCGTGTAAACTATGTTATTACACATTCATAGATATTTACTTACAACAGACTCATTGATTTATGTTTGTCTATTCAAACCATATAGCCTACACCATAAACTGGAACAGACTCTTGCTAAATCATTTTGGTAAATATGTGCATTATTTTATAGTTCTTACAGCGTTGACTGCAAATAAACATAGTTCAAAGTGTACCAAAAGCTGAACAAAGTGTCTTACACCTGTAAAAGTATATTTTCATGGATGCTAAAAAAGAAAATAGACGTGGGATTAGCTAGTTTTCAGTGTGGCTGTGGAGGAGAGTAACACTTTCCAGTGAGATAATCTGATTCAGCCTTTCACTCTCACTCCCTGGATCCAGGCTCTAATTTTGTCCCAAAAAGTGACTAATTTTCGTCCAAATGTGTTATTTTGTGGTAGAAAAATTAGGTCAACTACTGAGAGAGAGAGACTGAGAAATAGGCTAATTGTGTTTTTCTGACAGTATTAATGGACAATAGCCAATATCTCTCATCAGCCTTTTGATATTTTGTATAATGTGTCAGTCTCAACATAATAATATAGACAGACAGGTTTGTTTTAGTAAAGGAGTTTTCTCTATTATAAATTAGGCCTTACACAAGCCTTCTGCCATTTGAACTGGGCTGAGTGATTGTGTGAGCAGGGAGCGAGCAAGCATAGATCTGCCTGTGTAGATTCAGAAACTGATATATAGCCTAGACTAGAAACAGCGCAAAGTACATAAGAGACTTTATCTCATCCTAACCCCTCTCTGACCTGCTCTGTCTGAATAATAATTGTGTGCAATGGATTGGCACTCTCTTTATGTGAACAATGAACCATTTTATTTGCCGCTCTGTATCTTTGTAAATGTAATTAGGTTGGTAAAAGACCACTTTGCCTGTCTCCACATAGGCTTTTTCCAGTAAGAATGAGTCATAGGTTGTGTCTGAAATGGCACCCTATTCCCTATATAGTGCACTACTTTTGACCAGAGCCCTATGGGTCCTGGTCCCCCTGGTCAAAATAGGGTGCCATAGTATGCATACACAGGCAGGTCTGCGCAGCTCTACTGGAGTCCACTGTCCTACAGTGTGTCCTACTGTTCTGAGTGTGAATTGGGGATGGATGCATTCTACTTCCCACAGGTTGATAAAGCATAAACTGATCTCAGACCAGTTTTAACTGGACAACCCATACACTCCCAACTTTGTCATTGGCTAAATGATACCAGTTTGGTCTTGATGTTTTAACTGTTGTCGAATAATCAACAATGATACTAAAGTAAGGCCCATCCATAAATAGGTTGTTGTTCATCTGTGCATGCAGTAGAAACAAGTCCCTTGTATTCCACTGTATGTCACAGGGCTGGAACATTAGTGTTGATTGGCTCCCCACGTGTTCTGTTGCTTATCACTTCTCTGGAACATTAGCTCTGATTGGTTCCTTTGGGATGCTTTGCATGGACTGTGGGCACATGGATGATGTGGATAGGGGTTAAAAAGGGGTGCTATTAATAGTAGGTAGTGTGGGTGTTCAACTATGCATGTAGCATCAACACTCTCCTCAGCAGATGTGGTGAATAGGTATATATGGACCCTGAATTCACATGTTGGAACTACCTTAGTTCAAAATTAAATGAACATTTGAGAAAGAGGCAGCTCGATGAAGATAAATCTTTTCAGCTAAACAATTTCCCCAAAGCTGCTCTCTATATTGTTATTAGACCATAATGGGCCACTCTATTATTTGACCCTGCTGGTCATCTATGAACGTTTGAACATCTTGAAGAACGATCTGGCCTTAATGGCCATGTACTCTTATAAACTCCACCCGGCACAGCCAGAAGAGGACGGCCACTCCTCAGAGACTGGTTCCTCTCTAGGTTTCTTCCTAGGTTCCTGCCTTTCTAGGGAGTTTTTCCTAGCCACCGTGCTTCTACATCTGCATTGCTTGCTGTTTGGGGTTTTAGTTTGGGTTTCTGTATAAGCACTTTGTGACATCTGCTGATGTAAAAAGGGCTTTATAAATACATTTGATTTGATTTGACTCTCTAGTTACACACACAGAACATGATGCAGATCAGATTAAACCTGTCTGGATCTCTCCGTGGCCCACTGGCCACACATAACCTCAACATCATCCTTTCACTGCTCCCATTCTCTGTCCTATCCTGTCCACCCACTCACAGTCACACTGACCTTCTCCTCCTCCTAATCCAGCAAAACTGAACTTAATCTCCTAAAAACTGACTCACTGGTCCAAATCATCCAACACAATGGTCTTCATTTCACGCAGTACTTTCCTGTTGACCCAGTTGCCGGGCCGACAGTAACTAGGGCGTTGGAGCCGTGACCAGTCCGGTGTATGTTTTGACTGACAGCTATCTTACACGGTGAGGGAAGGTGATGCACAGCTGTATAGCAGAGTTGGACAGATGGGAGAGAGGACCCATCGTATGTGTGTGGTCTGTTGAAGGACTGTCTCCCACCACATTCTCAGACACACACACAAATGAATGAGCATACACACACACACACACACACACACTCACAATCTCTCTGATATTCACACGGTCATTCTCAGTCACTAGCAGGTCTCTATCCCCTGCATTTACAATTGCATGGCACCGTTTTACCAGCCCCATTCTAAAAGTAGCAGTGCTGAAGTTGAAAGAGCTGCAGGCAGCATCTAAAGTGCATTAAATGCATAATTCAGGAGCACAGCAGAGTACCTCTGTGTCTCTGCTCCAGCCCACATGAAAGATGTGGATGTGGGTTGATGGTGGGAGCGGCTACAGAGTTGCATACATTTCCTCCATCACAGGGAGTGCAGGTCGGTACTATGGGCTGTTTACAGTAAGATACTGT